AGCTCCTAATCCTGAAAAGCTCGCCGAAAACGCAAGTCCCAAACCAGCCTACTGCTGATAATAGTCTGTTACCAAAACACATCTATCAACAACAATCCTAAAAAGTCTTGGGAACAAACAAGACAACGGGCGATCACCACACCAAACATTCTCCCAAAACCAGGCGTCCCTGCCCTCCCGAACTCTGAATCTAATGTGCTTAGAGAACTCATCCTAGACCTTCCGAATAGATTTCCACGCCCCTACGTCAAAAGCAGATCTGACTGCCCTGAGAACCATCCCCTTCTCTCCTCCCCAAAAAGGAACAACTCCACTAACGATGTCTTTCACTACCAAATCTCCACCACCACTTACCAAGGAGCGCCCCTAGTGAAAGGGACCAACCTCCTAAAACCAAGACCACCCAACTGAAAAGGCCTGCAAACATCCTCCCACCAGACAAAGATGCAACTTAAACTCCTCCCACCAGTCGCCCCAGAGGAAGTTCCGTTGAAGACTCCTAAGTCTTCTAGCAATGAAGGAAGGAATCTAAAAGAGCGAAAGAAAATAAGTTGGAAGACTCGACAACGTACTCTTCACCAAAGTAACCTTCCCGCCCTTTGAAGGATACTGCTTCTTCCACCCAACCAATCTTCTCTCAAATCACTCAATCATCGGATCCCAACTTCCCACCCTCCTTGACGAAGCACCCAAAGGTGGACCCAGATAAGATATAGGGAAGGAACTCGTCCAACACCCTAGAACCGCAGCAAGAGAGCCACCTCCCGAACCTCCCCCATAGGGACAAGCACACTCTTACCTACATTGACTTTCAAACCTGAGATTGCCTGGAAGCTAACCAGAACGTACCTCAAATATCTCAGTTGGGACACCTCCGCCTCACAAAAAACCAGAGTATCATCCGCTAACAGCAAATGAGAGATCTCCATCTACAAGGCTTTAGTTTGTCATAAGGTCTCTGTTATAAGCCTATAATTAGATTAGTGTTTGACAACAGTACCTTTGCCGAAAGCGAGTATTTATTGAGAGTGAAGGGATTGATTTTGCACATGAATTAAGAAATTTAAATGAGGCATTTGCTTAAAGGAATATTGTACATTGAACTACCAGATTGAAACTCAAGAGTATGGCTTTCAAAGGAGGAGTAGAAGACAGAAATCTGGAAACCAAAATGAGTAGAAGGAACATGAGATCGGCACCATCTTACAAAAATGAGAATTTGAACAACATTGTATGTGACGCAGGATCTTCAATATCAGCACCAAATAGTGAAAAACTTTAGGTTAGACAACGAGGAGGCTGAGGAGCAACAGAGAAGAAAATTTGAAGGTTGGAGAGAGCAATAAGAATAGTAAGAAGGAGGAAGAAGCCAAAGCATTCACACCAAGGTTATCAGATAATCACACCTCCAAGAAGATGTATCACACCACTGTAATAGACTGCAAAATATCTCTTCATTCCATGCTCCAAAACAAGGCCATTTTTTCCTCTATATATGGATGAGCTTGGAGGCTATGGAACTTGATGGCCAAGTTGTTTTGGTGGTAAAGTTAGAAAGAAAACTTGTCTATTTTACTAAACCAATTAGACAAACCTGACCTAAAATGCTTAAGTAAGCCCACAATCAAAAGCCTTAAAAAGTCTGCTCTACAGCCCAAAAATGAAATTACCAAAAGACCCCATGTAGAAAAATTATAACATAAACCTATCAAAAAAAAGAAAAAGAAAAATTATAACATAAAATTAGTCAAAACTCAAAATAATTAATAATCTGGGTTGCCAAGTAACAGTATTGGTATTGAAATCTTGACTTCACCCTCTTTTCTGTTTTTTTTTTTTTCCTATCTCGGTAAGGTAAAGTAGAATGAGTGGTATCTTTCATAAGGATCATCATCTAATTGCGAACATTCTTCTTAAAAAGTCATGTACAATCTGATCAACTCCTAAATCCTAATCTTCCACTTCACCTAGTAACCGCGGCCCCCCCAACCCCCCCCCCCCCCCCCCCCCCGCGCGCGCCCGAGCAAAAACAATGTTGGTACTCAAAATATAACAATTTCTTCACAAACATCAGCAGCATAGAGAAAGGCGAGCAACAATATTACGAGATGAAGCACCAGCATGAACAATAGAAAGTGAGATCGTCAATGTTGAAAATATTACTATAGCCATGTTGCCAAGTCCAAGAGACATAGACATTAATCTTCCTGAGTAGCTTGCACAGGCCAAAACTTCAATCCTACAGTTTCTTGATAGTCGCATAGCATTCAAGTCCTACACACTCCAAGACTTGATTCCCAACTTCAAATTTAGCATGATGCAAACCCATTTGCTTGACTATATGACTAGCATTAGTAGAGGGAATTTTACAACACACACATCAGCGTAAATTTCTCAAATATGCCCTGCAATCTTCAGCACCATGACAGGTTAAATTGGGTAAAGGAACAAGATCATTTGGTTTCCTTTGTCATAAACTCAGCAGCTTCTGCACTACTTCACCATTCCAACTATAGAAAGCACTGTCATGAGCAAACTTATTTGAAACACAGGTGAACCCCCATTTAGACACTTTATTTATACATTAATATAAGTAGGGTTAAGTGCAAAAAACACCCCTCTACTATCGATATAGTGCAAAATAGTCCCTATGTAGTGTAAAACACCCCTATACTATTGATTTGGTGCAAATAGCCCCCTGGAGACTTAAAATGACGAAAATACCCTCATTTCAGAACAATAAATTAATAAGTATAAATACAGGCCATGTAAATGACCATTTTGTCCAATTTTACTCCCCTCATTAGCATATTGTTAAAAGAATTGAAAACATTTGACTATATCAAATTAAAAATTTGCCCATATTAAAAAAAGAAAAACACATTTTTTTCCATCTTCTCTCTCCTCTCCACCAATGACGCCACCTCTGACTTCCTCCCACCACCATCACTATCTCCTATCTCTCTTCTTCCCTCAGTCTCCACTTCTATCACCCGCCACCACCCATCACCGCCACACCCTATAAGCATATAGATATACAAACATGTTTAGAACCCATAGCCCACTTAATCGAACCACTTCCACCATCGATCACTAACTCAATTGAATTCCTACACACACACACACACACTTTGTAATCAAATATATCTAAATTAGTTGAATCATCGTTTGAATACAACAATTTATATTGAAAAAAAAAAATCATTTTAATTAAAATAAACAACCACCACTGGCAGCCAACACACGCTCTCTCTCTCTCTCAAACACACATTTTCGCTCTCTAACCAATCACCCTCTCTCATGGTGGCTCTGCAAAAATTTCTCACATCTCTCCCCAAAATCCTACACGCACTTTTGTTGGTTGAGTTTTGCTAGGTTAAATTGATGTTGTGGTTCCATGTTGGATGTGGATCGAATGCCGATTGAAGGTATCTACGAGTTCGGGTCCAGTGACACTCTATACAAATTTGTTGGGATCCTTGCTGCCATACAAATTGACACACACCCTCTGTCTTCTTTTTCTTTTTCTTTGCTCCCTTTGCTTGCTTTTTTCACCGCTACAAAATTGCATCGATTTCAGAGAGTCATTCACTTAGAAAACCATATATCATGGTGGTAGGGGGAGAAAAGAGAGAGAGTGGAGAAGATAGTGGAGATAAAAAGAGAATGGAATGAAGAAGATAAGAGGATAGAGATTATTGTGGTGGTGGTGGTAGTAGTGGCGGCTATGGCGGCGGGTGGCGAGAAGAGAGGGAAGGAAGACAAAAGAAAGGGAATTATTTTTTTCGATAAAAGAAGGGAATTCAGGTTTTGGAATTTGACATATGTGAGTGGAGCAAAATAGTCTTTTCCCATACAAGATATTTTAACACTTCTTAATAATATAATATTAGGGGTAGTTATGGAGAAAGAAAGAGAGAGAGAGAGGGAGCAAGGAAATGGGTTGGGGGTTATGCACATTCTGTTAGGGGCAACATAGGAACAAAAAGAGTAAAATCGGATTTTCATATTTATTTTTTGCCAAAAAGTGGTCAGAGGGGCTTATTTGCACCTTTTTTGAATTTTTATGGACTGAAATGCATATTTTCAAAAAAGGAGGGACTATTTATGCACAAAACCTATATTACAGGGGGGTTTTATGCACTTGACCCATATAAGTATTGATCAAAAAAATGATAGATACATTAGACTTCAAGAAACATCATGCAACACATACTTCTACAGTAGCTTGACTACATATGGTCATCAATTTGCAACAAGCAAGAAAGGGTTATTAATAAAGCAAGTTGTAACTTGTAACATGTAAATAAACTTAACCCACCTCATAAACCTTGCATTAACTACTTGGTTGGTAATACGGATCCTTTCTCTTCATTCATTTTTAACCAAGGCCATACTACTATTTTAAATTATTAATTAAATTACACTGCAATGTATAGGTTCGAAATAGACACAAAAAGAAGTTTAGCAATTTAAAACCATGAGAAAAATGACAAACCTAAGAAAAGATCCAATGAGTGCATGTTGCAAGAGCATTGTCAGTTCAATCTTTAGTCTATCTATATGTACATCGGGGGTAGAATTGTCTCTTTTGCAATTAGTAGAGACCTAATATTGTAGGGTTTTTCCATTTGACGATTTGACTTGTATTTTTCATGAAAGAAATACAGATTATAATCTGATCCTCCTTTCCATATCTTATTCTTGGAACTTGCAGTTAGTTTGCATTGATATTTAGATTGTTTTCATGGTACCAGAGTAAGGTTTTAACGAAGGGAACTTTTTATCCTTTCTCTGTGTTTTTTTAATGATCATCGGATGTAATAAGAAAGAAAAAGACAAATCTTTGTGTAATGAAATAACTTCATTCAGGGGGGAAATATGACAAATCAACCCCTGAAAATAATGCATATATATTCTAACACATTTAGCTACCATTATTCACTTAAAATAAATGCTTATATATAGAAAATAACATATTGAACAACTTGAAAACTTACTTTTAGGTGTTCATGAGCTTCTTTGACAGTCTTTCCATCCTTTTTCTTCTTCCAGTTATGGCCGTCTTTCCGGAAGTTCCTGAGCATCTTCCGGTCAAACAAAACAATTTTGCCACCTATTACATTGCAAATGAAGGGTTTACAGAATGCAATTAGAGCTGCAATCTTAGTATTTTAAATAATTCACTGGAGATCAATGGCAGCAAGTAGTTGTTCAACTATTGAATACATCCAACCTATATAACCCATTTAAGATTATTAATTAAAATTCAACTAAGATAATAGTCAAAATGTAATTCAAATTCAACTAAGATAATAGTCAAAATATAATTCAACTTGTCAAGAAAATAAATGAAACCATAATAATTTTGTTTAAGTCCACATCTCTTCTCTCAATAGTATCTCTCATCTTACATAAATCCCTAAAGACATTTTTTTATGGCATAAAACTCAATTGTCAACTAAAAGTAATAACCCAGAATGTCTAACAACTAAACCACAAGAGAAACAGAATCTAATAAGTTTTTGGGCATAGTATACCTTATATATGAGAGGCCAATTAATAAGTACATGAGGTAGAAAGATTATGCACTTCAACATTTATAACTTAGGGGGGCTGAGGTTGCTACCCTAAACAAGAATCAATGGCTTTTTTTTTATACCTTTTTGTCTATATCTGTAACAATTGAAGTTCCCCTTTTTATCAAATGCTCCATAGACCCTTTTTAAAAGTATTGTCTTATCAATAACCATGTGCACTGCTTAGAAAGAATTCATAGAAATGTACGCTCTTCCATTATAATGGATATGACAGCAAAATGCACACCCTTATTTGGGTGCAAACGAAAATGACATTGTTGAAATGAGTTAACAATAGTGATCATGGTTGTGTAAGATGCAGCTGAATGTGGCCATCAGCCACATCTACATTAAAAGCTTAACAAGTCTCAACATCGTAGCTCAATGACTCCAATATCCAAAAAGAGAAGATATCAGCTACATAAATGAGTAACGCACTCATCTTTCTTATCTATTGGTAATCTTACATCAACTGCTTACATAATTGACAATTAGCTGTTGTATGAAATATAAATCTATAGGATCAAAAGAACTTGTGGTGCACATAGATGAGAGTATGGGTATGTCAACTAGTACTCTACTGCATTTATGCTACAATCACCAGTAGTTACTTTTTGGCAAGTTGAGTGGCTTGACATTGATGCTGAAATACTTAAAGTTACAGAGTATTGCATGAATCTCATTTGGCCTGAGCCATCTTGCCTTAGCTTCCTCCATCATGGTACCAACATCCAAATCTGTCAACCAAAAAAGGAACCCTGATCAAAAACCATGAAAAATTATGCGAACAAACAGTATAACAAAAATATTCATTAATCAACTTCTAGGTTGCGGAGACAACAAGTGTCACCAAAATAATAATTTACGGTAGTTAAACCATAATATTGTAGTCGGCATGAACTAAAATAAGAGCAAATATGAACAAACATAGTGGAAAGAGAAAAGAGGTGTAAAAGGAGGGAACTGAATCAACAAAGGGCCCTTCTGTCTGGAACAGTTAAATGAATCCTATTTTGCCATTATGCTTTCTTCTATGCAAGAATTTCAATTAAATATTAGGCCATCGTCATCTCTCTCTCTCTCTCTCCCTCCCTGGTAAATAGATTGTGTTACCACATAATCGCCTTCTGATCTTTGCAATATCTCTCTTTCCAACATATTTCAGTTCTCAAAAATAGTATACACTCAATTTCTATTTGATTTTTCAGTCCATTGCGGGGTCTGGGGAGGGTTTCGTGTACGTAGCCTTACCTCCATATGAAGAGAGACTATTTCCTATTTCAAACCCGTGAAACCCGTGACCTACCTCTAGTTCACAATGGAGCAACCTTAGCGTTGCGCCAAGCAAAAGGGAAAAAAAGAAAGAAATAAAGATAGAAAGAAGAAATAAATAAATAATAAATAAAAACAACCAAGAATACAAGGATTATGTGGTTCAATGCCAACTTGCCAAACTAGGAGATAATATCATACATGGATTTAACTATCCATGAGATAACAGGTGAAACCCACCATCAATCAATGAACCTGATAATACCACACATGGATTAGGGTTTAGGGTTACTAAGTGGATGATCATGAATAAACATTACTAAACTATAACCAATTGATTTACCACAACCCGACTTCACTTCCATGATCACATCTTGAACTGATGCGTTGGCACCGCTCGTCAGTATATGCATTGGGCATCCTCAATGAGTCGCAATCAAGAGATGAAATGTGTTTTAAACAGGACCCCTCCCTGAAATACCAACACAGAATGGATTCTTCATTGTCTCCCACACACTCACTTTCCAAGTGCCTCTTTTCCTGTGCTTACAGTAATTTTAGTAGACTAAAAACATAACACACTAACCCCATCCCACCCATTTGAAAGAACTAAAAATCAGTGGTTTTGCTATCATCAACCCAACAATAAGTACCCTTAAAATTCATCTAAACACAATATTAGAGAAAATAAACACCACCACCATCACACTCAATTCTCAATTTAAACGAAATCACAACAAACAATATCTTCAGTGCATTACAAAGAAGAAGGAAAATATATAAAAATTAAATTAGTAATCATATATACCTTCCATTGTATGGAAACCATGAATCTCGGAGCCTACAAGTCGTCCCTCTACTATCCTTTCCATTATGAGAACTTCAAAACACTTTACCGATCATTTAAGACATCAAAATTTTCAATCTAGCACAAAACAATCAACAGGAAAGTAGAGTGATTTAACAGTGAAATTGAAGCGCAGAGAGCTCTGTTGAAACTAAGTACAATCCATATGTGTATATATATATATACACGCGCGTATAGAGAGAGAAATAGAGGGTAGAGAGAGACCAACACGATCGCTGTGATTTCGGTCTTTCGATTCACACTACACCAACTAAAAAATTAAAGTTCGTACACAAACAATGTTCAGATAACTGTGGATGATATAGACAGACAATGGTAGTGGTACGCGGGTCTTGACAATAGGGTATGTCTTGGGGAAGGATTTGATGTGTCCGTCACCCATCAAAAATAAATCACACAAAACAATTGACTACCGTCTGATGATGATCAGATGGCGTTCATTGCCAGCTAAAACGAATCCCTTGAATTTATGAACATAAATAATGTCGGGACAGCATGCCCAAAAACATTAGACATGATCTGCAGTGCTTCGTTCGCCTCCATGTGAATGGAAAAATGACTTTTGAGTCCCCACGTCTAGCTAGCCCGAGCACCTTTTGACCTTTTGGTGGCGGGGTTACTACTACATGTATGAGCCACGGACATGGACAATACGATAATATTTTTTAAAAAAGTTTGAATATGTCAAAAATTAAAAATATAATATATTATTATTATATATATAAATAATAATTTTTACTCATTTACTTGTTACAATTATGAATAAAATTATTAATTCAAGCTTAGAATTAGATTTTTTTTTTTCACATATTATATTATTTTTCTAATCGGTAAATAAATTTAACTCATCATATATTTTAAATTGTATTAAATCTAATTTTTCTACAGAATAATAATTACAAAACTATTTGGTTATGAAAGTGTTCAAAACCCATCAATGTTATACTTCAGTTATGTATTAATTGAGTATCCAACTTTCTAACACATTTTTAATTATATTGTATCTGATAATTTGTAAATTTTATACCTGTGAGACTTGTGAACAATGCAGTGGAACCACACATTTGATCATCACCGTCAAGGACGTCTAGAAACTGCAACTGCTAATGTGAATGCCACACATTTGATTTGCTCATGGGAATGATTTGGAAAATTATAAAATAAAATGAATAGTCAACCTACAATCAAGTAGAGTCAAAAGTTTCACTTTTTCAGCGAAATAAAAGATTGTAATACACTTAAAATGGCATGCAAAATCAGTTTGTTTGGAGCCGTCTTTTTTCACACTTTCATGAGAAATGTGATCAATTGGTCCCATTTGTTTTAATTAAAAGCTTCTTGTTTTCTCACTAGCTGAATGCTATGATAATTCAAAGATAAATGGGTTGACAAACCACCACCACCAAATAAACAAGACAAGCAAGCACAATCCATCAAAATGTTGTGTTATATATATATCTATATATATATATATAGCGTCCCATTTGTTTTAATTAAAAGCTTTTTGTTTTCTCACTAGCTGAATGCTATGATAATTCAAAGATAAATGGGTTGACAAACCACCACCAAAGAAACAAGACAATCAAGCACACTCCATCAAAATGTTGTGTTATATATATATATACACACACACACACACACAATAAATATTATAATATTTGTTTATTGGGCTTTTTATAGGTGACTAAAGTGTTACAAGATAACACACAAGAGATTTAGGTTTACGGGTTTTTTGTCGTTTACATTATTTGCAGTCGGTAATAAAATATTAGGTACTTTTATCTAAGACTATAACTAACTTAACTTTTATTTAATAAAGATGGTTTGTCTTGACTATTGAGGTAATTGACTCTAAATAGGTATGTTAGTGTGTTTGGAATATATTAAACTGGATCACCGTACAAATTAACGTCATTATTTTATTGTGATTGTTATCTACTAGATGCATTACACTGTGGCCACTTTGACTTACTAATGCATAAAATCTTTTAAGGTCAATACCATGTATCTTGGTTGGCTAATATTAGAGTTACGGGAACATAAATGTTCCACATGAAATCCACACTAAATGCATAAGAATAATAGAATATCCCGTTGATAAAATTTAATAAGTTTGATCATTCAAATCTAAATAGGGCGTTCTAGTAAAATATTTATTAAATTATTTTTTATTATTTATTTTAAAAAATATTGTATTTATTTTTAATAAAATATTTACTAAATTATTTTTTATTATTTATTTTAAAATATTTATTTTGAAAATTATTTTATAAAAGAATTTAATTTAGATAATGATCATAAGGTTTTAAATTGGTTACTCAAATAATATAAGAAGTAATTATGTTTTAAGTGGGACAATATTTAATTATCATTGATGCTACTTATAGATATTCTGTAATGAAATAGCTTATATACAATTATTTAGTAAGATATGGCTTTGTCATAATTTTTAAATCTTAAAGTGCAATTATAATATCATTATAGTGTTTTATTGTAATTAATTAAATATGACAGAGTTATGAGCCTATCTTTTTCTTTTTTTATAGCGTATTTTCATTATATCTAATTGAACCTATAATGAAACTCTTTTAGATCATCATCCGTAGCCCATACAACTATTTTAAAAATGACAACTCACTCTCAGGTTATTATCACTTCTGTTACAACAAAAAAATATAGGTATACATAATAATGAGAGTGAACAAAAAATATATATACATATATACACACACAGAATAGAGAGAGTGGGGCGCAGCCTTTGGGGTCTTTGTCATAGGAGAGAGTACTCTAGTTTGACATCAAATCATATGGTAAAGATCCTAAAATTTTTAAAATAGATTCTATTTTTCTTTCATAAAGATAACTCAAAATAAACATGAGATTGCACCTTAGGCTAAAAATAAATAAACGAAATTTACTAATTAATGGTATTCATTGTGTCGAAAATTTCTTTTTTAAAAGGGTATTATTATTAATCATTTCTACAATAGCTAGTGAAAGCCTAACAATATCAATGTAAGAGATTATTTTTATTTATTTATTTTCCTTCTAGATCTTAGTAAACATATATGTAGCGAATTATGTGGACAATTGTGATGTGAGCGGGTGTAAATGGATATTAAATAAGCTATTACATTGTACGAGTCACCGTGCACAATCTCATATCACAACATCAAAAAAGATAAAAATGAGGTGATATGTATTCATGTTCTCTACATTTTAAAATAAAACTTAGCTATTGTTCTTATGTCAAATAGTTACAACATATTCCTAATAACCACTCTTATGTCGCAATTCAGTTTCCAATTTCAAATTTCAAATCATACAAGTTTCATACTTGCATAGGGCAAAGTGGGTCCACTATGTCATGTTGATTTGTTGCGAAGTGCATGTATTTTTTTGCCAACAGTAGGAGTAGAAAAGTTAGAGCAAACTTTTGGAGGCCCACTCTTGGTGACATCTTTTGTCACCATTATTTTCGATAAATGAAAGAAAAGGATGTACTCTTCGGACTTTATCAGTGAGAGAGTAAAATTAAAAGTATAAAATCATAAAATTTCTATTATTTTTAAATTTTGATTATAAAATTTTAATTTATTTTAAAAAATTCATACATCTTTAAAAAGTGATTATATTGCCCCAATATCTGTATCACAGGCTATGAAATGACATATTTAATCTTACTATTTAATATTAAATTAAAATTAAAAATTATTTTTTAAAATTACAAAATACCCTTTAATCTTCTTCTTCACCCCCCTCTCTCTAAAACTCTCACCCATCTCTCTCTCTCTCTCTTTCTAAAACATAATTTTTGTAATTTTAAAAAACAAATTAGTTTTTAATTTAATATTAAATAGTAAGGTTAAATTTGTCATTTCACAGTCCGGTTAACGGGTCGGATACGAATATTGGGACAATGTGATCACTTTTTAAAAGTGTTGGAGTTTTCTAAAACAGGTTGGAGTTTTATGATCACAATTTGAAAATAATGAGGTATTTATGTTTTAACCCAAAATAAAATGACATACTCCAATATTTATGATAGAGGCAGATGCTTCAAAAGCCTAGTGGATTAGTGCCTCCGGTGGGCTTTGGAGTGCCAGACTTCAACTCTTTGCATTTACTAATCTAACTTCTAACACTTCTTACCTTGAATAAATAAATATATATATGTATGATAGGGTTTTTTTCCCCATTAATGGTGGTATTTAGTTTCTTAAAATACTCCATAATTTATCACTAAACAAATATAATCTCCCCGTTTCACATACAATAGAAAAAGACCCTTAGTCTCTAGAGAGATTCAAACTCTCTCCAACATTGGACGATTTGGATCTTATAGTAAATGTTGCCTCATTTGATAGTTAAGAAATAGAATCATGTTGAAATAGATCTACCTTGTGATACTTGTCATGAACTCTCTATTATATTTTCGGGATCATATATAAATATCGAGACACACATCTAACCATTTGAAAGAAAACTATATGAAAATTCTACAGTCAAAATTTTGTATTAAAATTCATTTACACGAATCGGTCAAACATTTACCCACTATTTCTTTTGACTTTAATTTACAAAATTACAGTATGAACTTTGATGGTCACATTTAATTTTACTTTAAGGTATTTTGAGTTTTTTTATTTTTTAAATATTGACTTATTATTATTATTTTTTTTTACCTAAAATGTATTGCCAAAAAGGAGAGCTCGTGATCTTGAGTAGACCTCATTGTACCGTTATCCTAAGAAATATATAATAGTTGCAACAACAACTATTGTCACTAACAATTTTTACTGTATTATTAATGGGTAAATTACAATGACACTTTTGAGGTTTGCCTTATTAGCAGCCACATACAAGATAGCCTCTTTTTGAACAATAACATGTGAGGTATTAATGTGAAATTGGAAATTTTGATGTTAAAACGTGTTCGATCGAGTTATAATTTATTTTATTTTTTTACTTTTGAGTCTCGATATCGAAAGCAAAACATTTAAATATGTGTTCAATTTTAATTTGGCTAAGAACATCATATTACAAAAAAGGTGTGTTGTAGGACACATTATTTTTACTACCGGTGAGTTTTGGTATTAGGCATTTAGGAAATTTTTAACATTTCACATTTCGAAGTGCACTGCCATATCGGAACCGGTTGCGGTTATTGTTTTCCAAATTTTGTTTGCGAAGAAAACTCACTAGCGTAGCAAAACCGGTCATGTTTCAAGTGGAACCGTTTGTGCTAGGCATTTTTTAAATCCGCGTTACTGAATCTCACATTGGTCTTGCAAAACTGGTTGTGCCTGAACGTGACCGGTTTCATTGTCCTGAAACCA